AGAAACTGATCTTAAAATCGCGAAAATGTTGATAAGTCGCCGAATTTGGAACCTTTTAATAAAGAATTCACATTCCCAAAAGCAAAAAGTAGTTTAAGATCTCTTCATTAGAAAAAATGAAATAATTTCAAAATGCTTATGTTTCACTTCTTGCTCAGAAACTTCCCACCGTTTGTATTACAAATAGAAACAAATTATAATTCAATAACCTATTCACCCATTCAAAAGATAACTATATTTGTCAATGAATCGCCAAAAATATTTGCCCAAAATGCTAATTCTCATCTAAAATGGCAGTCTTAAAAATAGACAGAAATTTCAGATGATTAAAATTAAGGAACTCCTGCCGAATTTGGTCGAAATTAAGGACTTTTAAGGACCACAAATCGATTCTAAGAAATCTAAGGACTCTTAAGGAGAGTACGAACCCTGGTATATAAGAAGCTTATCGTTGCAAATTAATATTTATTGTTATGAAAAAAGGCAAAGTATTTTTCGAAAATAATAAGTACAATTTGGTGATCGTAACATTTTTTTAATGTTTTGCAGTCTCTTTCCTTCATTCTCAGTGTCATCTGGTGAATCACCAAAAAATGTTAATCAGAGCACCTCACTAAAATCCTCGTGTTCTAAAATCCTTGTTACACAGTCCAAAAGAGACAACCATCTCGTACTGTAGTATTTCAAAATTTAATGAGATTTTGCATTCTGTCCCAAAATTTGTTGAGCAACTTTAAAGCTGTGCTTTCGTTTTGAACTTTTCTCCAAATAAAAATATACATCTATTAACATTATTTTGATTTCTGAGCCAGTTAATTTTTTAGTAGCTTTTTTTGCAGTTATATGCAAGAGGTGGTATGGACAACCTTGGATGATTATAATTGGTTGATGCATTTTGATAAACGATGCTACACCTTTTAATTTTCCCATCATATTACTAGCATTATCTGAAGAAAATTATAAGCAATTTTTCCATTCTAAACCTTTGTTTTTAAAGTTTTCATTTATACTATTAAAAATACCTTCTCCATTATTATTCGTGCATTCTAAAATAGAAATCAATGAAGTAATTATCAATCCCTTTTCTTTACTATAATATGTTATAATCAAAGGGTAAGTTTGTTATCATTGTAATCATTACTTCCATCAGTACTTAAGAGAAAATGATGCATTGAACACTGATTTTATAATATCGGCAACAGTACTTCCTGCAAGCGTTTTCATAATAGCAGCAGTGTTGGTGTGGCCGCAGCTAAATTTTTTTGCTACGGCAGAATCTGGAATCATTGCTTTGAAAAGCTGTTTGGAAAGACAGGAACCTGAAATCAGTAGATTATATTCATTTAAAAATCAAACAAAATAGCATTCCACTTTTATAGCATCATTTTCATCATCTTTTATTAAGAAATCCGTTAATTCTTTAGATTTCATAGTGCCATGTTCTTTATGCTTTTATAATTTTAGCTTCTTCATTCGAGGCAGCATAATTAACCAAGAACTTCAAGCTTAATCACATCTCGCAAGACACATGCTAAGCTCTCGCCATAATCTAAACAATGGAGCCGAGGCAGGCTAAACAACTCTATACCAAAGACTGCTCTACAGGTTCTTTGCCTATACAGCAGCAACAAACCTGAGAAACACAGATAGAGAAAGTAGACAGTGTGGGGAAGGAACTATTGACAAATGATTAATGGTTACAGTTACTGATTTACGATTGGCTTCTTCAAAACCAGTAATGCACATAGCACATGATATATGATGACATGAGTATTCAGCCAATCATTGGATGAATTAGTTGGTTCTGTTTTGCGTACTGCTTCTCATACCCTGTTTCTGTAGTCTGTAGTTTTTTTACATGCTTTTCGTAGCTCGAAATTTTTCATGAATTTCCGTGGAGACTTAAACAAGCCTTAAGTCTTTGCAAGAGGAATAAGTATAATAAATAATTAATAAGATTTCAGGCTTTACATCAACAGCATGCAGCAAAAGCAAGATGAAATTTAGCAAAGCAATATTTCTTTAATCATTATTCTCATGATACATTGCCAGCTTATGCTAGGTAAACTTTATGATGAATGCATGAATTTGAAGGTACTCAGATATTGCAAACAAAAATCAAAGTTTCTTAATTAATGGAAATTTGAAAGAAATGTACGTAAGTGATTATATAACAGGTATTTTTCATTGCAAGGCCAATGCCCCAATCATCAATCAAGCAACGAATGGCGAAATATGTAGCATGGTTCTAAACCCAGAAAACATCGCTACCAATAGTGAAAAAAGCGACAGGCAGATTGCTGAGAATGAAAAAATTTTGACTGACAATTTAATGAAAATTCTTGACATAGTAATTACAGGACTTGAACAGTAGAACTTTGTAATTGAACAAGAAATTATTTCTCTCTATAAAGAGAAATTTTGGTTCAAAAAGCAAAGCAAATTAAATGACTTACACTGGAAAAATGTTTAACAGCAAAAACTTAAAGCTAACAAATAAATATTTAGCTTTTCTTCATAAATTTTGATTTTCTTAAAGTCATTAATGCTTCATTATTTCCTAAATTACCATTTCATATTTTTAATTTCCTGTGAGTCATCCTACTAGATTTAAACTGATGATTTAAACTCAATTATGATTCCCAAATTCAGAATCACCGAAACACCGAAGAGTCCGGATCTGGGATTTCATGCTGTAACATAATTTGCATTATTAACTTTTTAACTGTCAAGTTATTTTGATGATTTGGGGTGCATAAATTAACAATTTTTTTTTATTCCAAAAATGAAATGTTTGCCTCAAAGTTGAAAAATCAAAAAAATGCTGCGCACTTTGAACTTTAACCTCTATCCTTTGAAACCTTTAGTCAAATGCTGCCAAATAGACAAATTAGCCAAAGACTTTAGTCAAATTTCTGACAAATAGAAATATTTATATAATGTAGCACGACAACACTGACAAATTAGGGAAATATCCGCTTAATTTAGAGTCCTCAGAGTAACTTTTAACTCAGTCAGAGTAAGTTTAAGAATGCAGGCTGAAACTATATATAGAATTTTTGAAGAATTTAGGTCCTAGTACACTTCAGTTCCAGCAATCCTTGTTTAATAAGATACGGTCTTCTGAAGTGAAGGCACCTTGGAAAAAGGCATTTATCTTATCAATTGCAAAGAAAGACAAAGCATTGTCAAATTGTCAAGTTAGAGACCTATAGCTTTAACTAGCATAATGTGCAAGGTTATGGAAAGAATGGTGAACGAAAAATTAAGTGTTCTTTCTGGAGAATGGCTGCCTAATTTCATCCTCTCAAGCTGAGTTTAGAAAACTGCACTCTACAGTCAAGTTAACAAATAGTGCTTTTATCCCAAGCAGTAAAATGCCCTGCACAGAGGTGACTCCTGAAACTAAGTTATGAAGTTATGAAGAGAAGTCTAGGTTGCTGCTAACCTTGAAAAAGAACACTGTACTGTAATGAATACCTTCACACTGTGATATATATGGAAATGAGATGACTGATCTTCTTGCAAAGAAAGGCACAGGCTTTCTGCAATCCATACAATAAGAGATCCCATACGCTTCAATGAATAGAATAAAAAAAAAAATATTTTGAATAAGAACTAACACACAAAGTTATTTGAACTTATTAGTGATAAAACTATGAAAGAGACTCTTGAAGGAGTTCCTGATTTTCCAAGACAGCATGCTATTGCCGTCTTCAGGCCAGAAACTGACCATGATTGCCTTGCTGATCACCTGCACAGATTTGGAATACTGTTCACCCAAAACTATAGCTCATGCAGCAGTGACCATGTGATGAATGCGGAGCATCTCGAAGTATGCCCAGCTGTCTCTGGAAATATTTATGATACATAACTGGAAGGTTAAAGAACAGTTGCAAGCCTTACAGACTAATTGACATTTGTTACAGATGTTTGTTTGTTTTATGTTTCTGCTTTCTTTTTTTATGTTTTTGGCTAGTTGATTCTCCTTGTGTGTTTGCGCTGAGTATTTTCACTTTGGCGAATGATGTATATCAAAAGCTACTGCTAGAAATAAATAAAGTTTTAATTCATGAGATTACTTATAAAACACAAGCATTCAACATTCTGTTAACAACATTCCAAAACAATAATTATTATTACATATAACTGAGGACAGGGCACAGCTTTACAAAGATATAAATTTGCTTTTTCCCACCCACACACACAGACACACAAAAAAAAAAAATAACTTTCAGATTTTACATTATGCCCAACAGAGTGTTTTTTTAATGTTTTCAGTGTTACCTTTATTTATTAAATATCATGTTCTTCGCACTTAAACCATAAAATTCAGTTCAAAAGTGCAAAATAATTTTTAAATGAGCATAACTTTAGAATTTCCGATGCACAGTCTCGCGTGCTCGAGATAAAAATGTTTTTTTCGTTGCTCGCTTTGAAATCGTTGAGTTTGCTAATCAAAAATTCAATAAAGTTTTACAAAATATGAAATAGATAATAAAACAAATTACAAATTTGGGCTTTCTGATGCCCATAATCGGGCAAACATTCATTATTCAAAATTTGATGGATCTAGGTACCGTTGTTTAATCACAATGCGAGAAACATACATACATTTATGCAGATTCTTCATTATTTAATTTCTTTAAATATACTACAGGGCTGTAATATTTGGTGGCAACAGGTTGAAAAGTGAACCAACATTTATCATGATATTAATAGCCCTTCTTGGGCTAACACCCTTTGGGCTAAAAAGAAAAACAGCTAAGAAATAAAAGGAAAATTTGAGAGGCTAAGAAAAAGTCTACTTCTAAGAAAATGTCTTTTATTTTACTTCAGCTACATTACTTTTATCAACTATTAAAGAAAAATAGGCTCCTAAGAATTTGCATTATCAGATAATAAACTAAAATTATTTCACTGGATGGAAAACACTGGATCACTGGAAAACACTTTCACTGGATGAACAAATGTTTTAAAATGCAATATGATAAACTCACTTTTGACTCTTTGTGCTCTCCCTTTCTCTTATGAGCTCCACCATCTTCTTTCTGAAATTGCAAAAATACTAGTTGGAGTATAAAAAGACCACGCTGTTCAGAATGCATATCTGAAAAATTTCAGTAAACCAAATACTTATGCAATGAAATTTTACATCTGTGCAGCAATTGCAGTCTTAAAAATTTTACTTAAATCAAAATGAAATATTTTCAAAACTGCATAAATTGCTTATTAACATTAAAAAGTTCAGAAATGGTTTTTCAGTTTCCAAAAATTTACTTTTCTTCTCGCTATTTATGGCTTTTTCTTAACTGGCTATTTATGGCTTTTTCTTAACATGAATGCTTACAGCATTTAAATAACTAGTTGCAACTAAATGCATTATAACTTTCCATGATTTAAGAAAAAGTTTTAACTTAAAATATTCATTCTATTCATTACGTGTGCAGGTTTTTTTTAAATTAAATAAAGCTATTATCTTCACAAAATCCTGTAAAATCTTTTTAAAAATTTAACTGAAATTAATAACAAACAGTTCAGCAAATATTGCATTATTGAACATTACTGAATAATTATTTCAGGACATTAAAAGATCCATATTTTATTCTGCTTAGAAGGTATAATCGTTGGCAAAGTTGGCTGTCAAGATCTATCCTTAAGTTTGAATCTCATATAGAGTATTTAGCAGTGTATAATGTCTTGGCAGAAACAGGGCACAATAATTAGTTTATTCAGCATGAGAAAAGCTGTACGTAAGCCCCATATTAACTTTTTTTTTAATATGTTAACTTTTTATTTAGTGATGACTGGGAAAATAAGAGCTGTGAGTAGACCGATTTTTAATATATGTTCTTTTGTTTTTTCTTTTAAATGTTAGCTATTTTTTATTTACTGATGACCAAGGAAAATGCCACATCATTCTTTTTTACTTCAAATGAATCTGGTGATAATTTTAGCACCATTATGATGGGGGTCACAAAAGTACAACTTCTATTGTTTTTCCTTTTATGCCATTAACACATTGTTGACCGGCTAAGAGTAAACCTGTATCATCATGTCAAAATGCTGCTGACCGGCCACGAAAAAAATCGTGATGTCATGCCAAAATGTTGCTGACCAGTTACAAGTTAACTCGTGTCATCATGCCAAAACGTTGCTAACTGGCCACGAATAAACTTGTGACGTCATGTCAAAAACTGCAGCAGATATTTAAGTAATAAAAACACTCATATCCCTTTGCTATAAAAAAGAAATTTCAACCATGATATAATGTAACGATGAAGAATCTTTCAATGAATAATACACAGATGATTTATCTGATTGTCCAAGAGATTTTGAAATAAATTATACTTTATCTGAAGACAGTAATAAATCTTATATTGGGCCACCAAAACTGCGAAGAAATGTAACAAAATCTGATAGTGACAATGATTTGGAAGATAAGTGGAAAGAAGATAATATAACCACCAACCTTAGAGGATTATTTATACATTCCTGGTGTAACTGCTCAACTTGGTGATGCACAGAGTATCAGAGAGATAACACCTTTAGTGTTTAGTTTTATTTATTTATTGTTATGCAAACTAACTTGTACCATTCTTGAATGAAAGGATTCCCTAAAAACTCTGAAAATATTACAATGGACAGATGTAATCATTAACGAAATAAAAGTTTTTTCCGATTACTAATATTGATGGGCCAAACCAAAAAATCTGATGATCACCATATGACTTCCTTGTGTGGAATATTAAATTATACTCACTTTTTTCTGCATTTCATTTTAACTTATTTCCTCGAATTTCATTAGAGATATATTTCACATTCAATTAATTCAGTTCTCACTTCGCGACAAGGCAATATACATAAAAACTCAAACTATATATATTGTTATGAAATGTACAGGCGCAGTAAGATGGCTTCCCCGCAAAGCAGTTTTAGGGTTGCCACATTTGGCGACAAAATTGGCGATATATCATGGGTGGTTGGAGAACCTTCTGGAACGAATTTTTACCAGTTTAGCCCAGAATGTTCCCGAACACAAGGCAAAAGCTATATAAAACCTGCTGGTCCGCAGTTATTGGATCTGCTGGTCGGTTAGTGTGTGTGTCTCGCATAGAGAGAGTCAGTATCGAGTTGGTGTCTCATCTAGCAAGTCAATCCCTGCGGAGTCGATGGAGTTGACAGCCGGGCAGCGAGTGCCAAGTAGGTCATCGAGTGCACTGAAGGAGTCTGTTAGTGTATCGTGGCTAGTGAATCATTGAGACAGTGTGTTGAGCTCTGGGAACGACAGAACGGAAGAGTCGGGAGCTGTGCTCGTGTGTCGAGTGCAATGCGAGTTGTAGCGTGGACAGTCTTGAGTGTATGTGGAGTTTCCAGAATGACCAAGCAGAGTCGGGAGCTGCACTGCGGAAAGCAAAGTCGGGTGCTTTGCAAGAAGCTACCATGATAACCTGAAGGCTATGTCGCTGATCGTGTCGGTGTGTTTATAGTAGTTCATTGACGACTGTAAAATGTGTTATGGAGCTGTCCTGACAATACTGGCTAATAAAGTGTGTTTCGATACTTCAGGAAGTAGTATTGTCTTTACTGACTCCAAATCCATACGAACCCGTAATAGCATAACAACTGGTATCAGCAGAAAGAAAAGAAAAACGCAACAATATTAAAAATTACAAAGTAAATCTTAAACACTTATTTCCTCGAATAAATTCCAGAATAGATTAAGCATGATTTAATTTGCAATAATAAAGGAAAGTGTTATCTTTGTTGTTGTGAAGCTTAGTTTCTCTAGATTGGGAAACAATCCATTATTTTGCAAAGTTTCAAATGTAAGCAAATATGGCCGCCATGGCAAAAATAATTAGACCACACTTAAACAACTTTTAAATTGTTGATAATTCTATAAATATTGATTGCAGATTTACTAAAGGCATAAAATTCTTAACAGGAAGATAAGAACAACAGAATTCAATCATTTTTAAAGCAAAAAATGCATAATTTACAAACATATAAGAATAAAGAAACTGAGCTCACTGAGGCAAGTAGCAAAGTCAATTTTTATATATACATATAAATACATACTTTTCGTGCAGCCGATTGAAATCAAAATAGTAGGTGCACATCCACATGTTATAGCAGTCCTATATACAAAATTTCAACGTTCTGAGGATACTTGTTTTTGAGTTAAGCAAGATACGTACATACGTATGCACAGACACTACGAAAAATTCTCTTCAGAATTCATTTTAAATCAGTTTTATAACTTTTTGGGGGGAAAGAGTCCTTTATTCTGTCCTTATGTTCAGATGTCAAGCAAAAACATCGTTAAATTGCATTTGATAGTAGTCAAATCGGATATTTTCGTTGAAATATGATACCTGAAATTTTTTGCGATTACAGTACTTCCCTTTTCACTTCCTGCAAGGAAGTAAAAACTGTTTTTACAATTAAAATTACAGTTTTGATGCAAAAACAAGCAATTTGGCCAGCGGGCAAAAAGGCAGATTTTTTTGGTGCACAAAACTAAAAGTTTACTTTTGGTCTTACTAGGCAAAAAGACACTGAAGGCGTAGAAACTGACTTAATTTGTTGTGGACACTAAGCTGAGTCAATATAAACTGAAATAATAATTCCAGAATGGATTAAGTATGATTTAATTTGCAAGAATAAAAGAAGAAGTTATCTTTGTTATTGCAAAGCTTAGTTTCTCTAGATTGGCAACAAATCCAATATTATGCCAAGTTTCAAGTGTAAACAAATATGGCTGCTGTGATAAACAAAAATTAGACTAAACTGCACTTAAACAACTTTTCAATTGTTGATAATTCCACAATTATTACATGAAGGTTAACTAAAGGCATTAAATCTTTAAACCACAAGATAAGAACAACATAATTCAATCATTTTTAAAGCAAAAAAATGTACAATTTACCAACAAATAAGAATAAAAAATATGAGTTCAATGAGCAGAGAAACAGTGGGTATATATATTTATATACCTTTGGTGTGACCGATTGCAACTAAAAAGGGAGGTGTACTATCATTATAGCAGTCCTACATACAAAATTTCAAGATTCTGAAGCTACTCATTCTTGAGTTATGCGAGATACATATGTACAGAGGCCACGAAAAAATATCTCTTTTGAATCCATTTTAAATGAGCTTTATAATTCATTTGAGGGAAAAGAGTTCTTTATTCTGTCCTTACGTACAAATGTTAAGCAAAAACATCGTTAAATTACATTTGATAGCAGTCAAAATGTATATTTTCTTTGAAATATCATACCCAGAATTTTTCATGATAACAATACTTGCTTTAATTTGTACAATGAAGTAAAAATCGCACTGGAGAGATTATCGGTCAACAGACCTTTTGAAACACCAATATTTTTAAAACTACGTCCAGAAAGATTTGACCTAATTCTTACTTTTTTCATGTGAATGACAATATGCAGAATGCATCTAATGGAAACTGGCTTTCCAAAATTAGACTGCTTTTGGATTACATTATTCCAAAATTTCATTTCCTATACATACCCAAAAAGGAGTTAATTCCAGATGAGGTAACAGTAGCGTACAGAGGACGCCTTAGCTTCAGAACGTATAATCTGGCAAAGATATATGGAATTTTAGTTAGAATGCTTTGTGAAAGTGAGTGTGGGTACACAACGCAATTTGGAATTTTAAATTCAGGACAGGGAAAAACGCTGCAGGAAACCATACTGTCCTGTGTTGCAGCCATACCTTGGTCATTAGCATTATAATACGAAGACAATAATTATAACAGTGTTTCTACAGCTGAGGTATTACTAAGAAAAAAACCACTGGTCTGTGATACCATATGAAAAAACTTCTGGCTTAACAAAGGTTCTGAAAGAAAAGTCTACGCAAAGGAAAAATTACTTTTGAAGAGAAAGGACATATTATTCTTATTGAGCAGAAGAATAAGACTAGAGCACATGATAACAACAACAGTCAAAAGTCGTTAATTCGGACACCCATAATCCAAAATGATCTATAACCCGGACCTCAAAGCTACAAACTTTCTGCGCATGCGTCGTGTTGACGCGTTTACACGTAAACGTCAACATGACGCATGCACAGAAAGTTTGTGTGCGTTATGCGTTTACGTGTGCGCATAAGACCTTTACGGCTGCGAATATGCATGTGCGCATAATATGTTTACGCATACGCGTTTAATGTATAATGGACGGTATAAGCTAAGCTAAAATTATTTAATTCAGTTAATGTTGCAGATTGCGTTGTTCCTTAATCTCCGAATTGGATACGGCTTATTATTTTTTGCAGACTGTTAGAGCAATTTTATAAAAGTAAGCTTGAACTTTCGATATGTCAAATAGAATTTCTGATATATATTTACCAAAATGTAAAAGATCTACCAAAGCGAAAGTATGTTTCGAACTCCATTAAACAAAAGTTGAATTGCTGCAAAAAATGACCTAACCATTCCAAAATCTGTTTATCAATTTCACGCTGCTCTGCGGCGGGGGAATGGGGGGAACGGCGCGCAATGAATTGGAAGTTGATCTGTCAGCACTATCCTTATCTATAGGGCAGATGTTTTTGTTTTATTTGGCTTATAATTCCTTACTAAATGTAGTATTTCATCTCGATGTACTCCGTCTTGATATGATTTAAATCAAGTCCCTCGTCATCATAATTCACTTCCGATAGTGAAGAAAGTGACACTGACATCATTGAAAACAAAAAAATTTCGATTGACAAATTAGTCGGTATTCTCGACACAGCAATTATAGGACTTGAACAGCGGAACTTTGTAACTAAACAAGAAATTATGTCTGTTTAAGAGAATTAAAGAGAAAGTATTATCACATGAAACGAAGCAACTTAAACAACTTACATTGAAAGAAATGTTTAATAAAGTAAACAAATAAATATTAAGCTTTTTCTTTTTGTAAATTTTGATACCCTTTAGATCATAATTGTTTTTTATTTCATAAATTACGGTTTCATATTTTTAATTTTATAATTTCTGCATGCCATCTTACCAGATTAAAAGGGATGATCTATAATCCGGAAAAATCGATAATCCGGAATCGCCGAAGTCCCGACGAGTCCGGATTAACGACTTTTGACTGTATTCATACTTCTCTGAAGTGGTATGTGAAAAAGAAATTCTATGGATGACACGATTAAACCTACAGACATATTAAAAAAAATAAACACATGAAAGGAGACGAATATGCAATCAGTATTTCACAAATAGCAGTACCTTACGAAAAAGTTTAAAGTGATAAAAAAATATAGCATTCTTTTTCATACACTGCACTTTGTTCAATGCATTCAAAATTTAGTTTGGCTGTAGTATTAGAACGTGTTAAGAGCTTTTCATATACGAGCTATAAAGAACAGATCTTAATAAAATAAGCGCAGTTAAATACCTATAAAACTTCATAAAGATACTACAGAAAAGCTACTGAAATGTTAAATCAACAGAAATATTACATACATGACTTCATAAAGTAAAAGCTGTCTTAATAAGTCTGCTAATTATACAGATAAAATAGAACAATTAGACAGATAAAATAATAGAAAATTGATAAATTTAAGTAAAAGTAGAAAATGTAGGCACAATTTAGAGTAGATATTTCTTATTGCCTGAACTGAATGATATTATAAATTGCAACAAAAAATTATACGAATACTGTATAAAGAAAAGGCTTTACTCTCATATATATATGCCCTAACATCACCCAAATGTGGTGATATGTGTTCTGCCCTGGTTTTTGGCATGATTGCATGTTGTATGGCAACCCTTTTGATGCTGAAAACTCTTTTGTTAGAGCGGTTTAATTGCTCGTTGGTTCGTGCCATGCGTGTTTTGAAATGGAATATGTTGCAATAAGAGACATGATGGCAAGATTTCAGTAGCGTATTTTAAATTGTGTGGAAAGTAAATTCAGTATTAAAAGGTACCATGTTGGAGTTGTTAACGAGTCTTTTGTTCACAGGTGTGTTTATGAGCTTTATACAAAGTGTATTTTTGGAATTTCTGCGGGACTTTTAAAATGGAGTCCGAAATGCGGAGCTGCTATGAGAACTCGGATGAAGAAGGGCATTTCTGATAGTTTTTGTGTGGATTTGCAGTGAAATGCTTGCTGGTAAATTATGTGGCTGTCAGCGGAGTTTAAGATTTGGATCCTGGTTTTCATGTATAAGTTTTTATCGTTACTTTCGAAATTTTGAATCGCAGAAAGAGATGTGATATAGCAAAATCATGGCACTTTTGTTCACAGATGTTGTGTGACTGGTGAAATTTTATTAATGAATGTATTATGGTAAGTGCATTTTATTTTACTGTTTCTATTTTGTACAATGTTATGTTCATTGTTTTTTTCCTATGAAGTTCTGGGTGAATCTTTACATTATGGTAACTTGATGATTTTTTGGAGAAAATTTGGCGAACAACCCTGCTACAGCAACCTGCTAGTTTTGTTTTGGATGCCATTTTGTTTTCACAAAGTAAAGGCATTTTTTTTTTTTTTTTTTTACTCAACATTTTTTCCAACAATATGCTAGCCGAATTACGCTTATACTAGAACTTTTATGGAACAAAAATGCTTAATCATGATGAAGATTAGGTGCGAAATTGGGAGAAGGTGCAGAATCGCAAACTGCTTGCTGCGTTTTTAAGAATTTCACATACACGGCATATATGTACACGTCGACCTATTTTTACTTAAAAGAAATCCCAGAATTGCACAAAAATGGCATTGCACACACTCTTGACTTTATCTATGTATACATCGACCTAGTTTCACTTAAAAAGTCAAAGAAAATTGACAAAAATCCAATTCTTCTTACTCTTGTAAAAAGTGCCAAACAAATAAGTGGGCGATTCTGCACTTTAGCAGCGAAATTCTTTCTAAGTGCTTATTAGCTAAAATCACGATCGGAATTTTCCGGAAAATGTCACATTACATGTCTTATGATCTCTCATTTCTCTGAGACAAAATAATCTGTGATTTGAACTGTATACTTCTCAGATTATTGCTAAAGTCCTACCTAGTAACCTTTATTGCCTTACCAAAATGTTGCCAAACTACCTGTTACCATATTCTAAAGATTAGCCAAGTTCTGTTGTTATTGTTGTTTTTTGAATTGTTTGTAATTTGAGTTTATTTTTGCACAATGCCTAGATTGTGCAATTCGCAGATGTTTTTTTAAAGTTTAAACAGGATGCTGTGTACATGGTATTCTTTAAAATTTAGTGTCGTTATAGTTATTTATTAGGTGTGCGTAGTTCATAGATTCATTTATTGCCTAGATTGTGCAATTCGTAGATTTTTTTTTTTTTTTTTTTTTTTTTTTTTTTTTAAGTTAAAACATATCGCTGGAGACATTTTAGGCTTAAAGTTCGAAATGTAGACAAAAAATTTAGATAGTAATATGGCATTGTGGAGTTTCTCACCAAAAATGTTTGCCGACCTGAGGGCGCATATAACAGTAGTTCCAAAGAAAATAATGATTTCTTAGTTTATTTCAATCAAAAAGCACTGAGGGATGTCTTTGTGGAAGACTCTCTGAGAGAAATAGGCTCATAGTCACATTACACAATGGTAAAATCACAGAAACCCTGGGTTTAGGGTCAATCTACCAATATCCAGCGGTCTGAGCCACTCAGCCCCTGGTAGGGCAAATTTGACAAGGAAAATTATGGTGAAAATCACTAGGGGTGGGAGTATGAAATTTTCCCAATTTACACTTCATTAGTTGAAAAAATTTTGTTTATTGCTAAAAAAAATACTGATGAATTAAGGATAAAAATTTAAAACCAGGAGATAGGTGATCTACCAGGACAGCTGACAGTTCTGTGATTGGTTCAGTATACATAATATTTTAAATATGCCTAATTAATGCAAAAAGTAATTTCTTTAATGTAAAAGTTCTGTTACACAACAAAGTTTCATTTTTATCAGATCAAAATATTTAAACTTGAATTTGTTATCCAATATTTACTAACAATTAGTAAACAAGCATCTATATTATTTCATTAAACTAATCATTATTAAAAAGTTCAAATGAATGACTCGACATAAAAGAATAATGACGATGGAACTTACACTTGATGGCTTTTCATCAATTACAAGTTTTTCATCTTCATCACTAGCAACTTCATCTTGAGAATCTTCTTTTTCATTAGATTTAACAGTCTAAAGTACAAAAGAAATATTTTTCAAAATGAACTATATTACTGAAATTCACAGACTGTTTTAAAAAAGCATGCATTTTTAAATACACTGAAGCCTCAGATGGCAAACACCCCTCATCGCGAAGCAACAAATTTGCTTGGCAAACAAATTATCTGACCCACTGTCATGCGTTTTGAGATTAAAAGGGAATTTTGAATAGGATTACTTCAGGTTACTGGGAAGTATTGCCTAGCACATTAGAAATCCAGTATAACCCCCTACGTATCAAGGTAAATTACCTGAACCAAAAATGGCATCTCGAGTTTCAAACACTGAAGTCATCAACAAATCATTTTCAATACATTTTCAGGTAACCTAATGCCACAGAATTAATATTCAGGACTTCTTGAAATATTTTATTTTGTTACTTATCTGCCAATACCAGTGCCTGGCAACATGAGACTTCATGATTCAGTCTGGAGGAAATCATGGTCACAGTGTGTTGCAGTCAAAGACTTTAGGGGCTTTGATACTTAAATTCACTTATCTATGATATTGTTTCTAGAGGAAATTCATATTAATAATGAAGACAGAAAAGAATTCCCAGAGAACCATAAAAATGAGCTCGAAAAGGATTGTAACAACTTCAAAAGCAGCAAAAAAAGGCAACTGTAGTGGAAATGATTTCAAACAAAGAGTAAAGGGGGGAAAGACTACCTTAATACTTTGATCCATAAAATTTGTGCAAAATGGGATTAGGGAGCAAAGTTTTCATGTGATGATAGTACCCTGAGATAAAGCAGTAGTAAGCTACAACAAAAAGTGTCCCAGTGAATCTCAAGCACGATCAAATGATACTGAGAGTTAATGAAAAGGTAAAAAAAAAAAAAGATACCCCCAGAAAGAGTTACCTGATGTTTTTATGAAAGAAATCTCATCCAAATATCTCTTCCCCTTCTCTTTCTCATCACTTAATGCTATCTATTCTCTTTTATGCAGATACAATAAAATTAAGTTTTCATTTATTTTATCTGTTTAACAATATGTTAATTTTTTTTTTTTTTCCTAGATTTAATGATTTCCTTTGGTCTTACTTTACGAACAAATATGCAATAAATACTGTAAAGTTTAAACAAGCTATCACATGTGGTCTGGGAATAGATTAATCTTAAAATGATTCCTGTGAGGGAAAATGTTTTGTTTTGTGAACATGACGAAAATATATTTTAGGAATGAATTATACTCGTGAACCAAGCTTTCACTGCACCGCTTACAGGCTTTTAACAACCCATGATACTCAGTTAACATTGCAATAGCAAAATGCCATGAAATCTGCATCTGAAGAGCTACAAGATTAAGCACAAAAATTCTATTATACGAGGGTTGAAACTTTAATAGTGGCAACTATTTATTTACAAGGAATACAAAAGTGATTCATGTCACCATGTTTTACAGTCATTCAATATAGTCGCCAGCTTTGTGTACAACCCGTTTCCAACGATGTGGAAGTTGCAGAATACCTGCAGCAGCGCCTGTTTTGTTGATAGTTTGAATGGACCGGTCCTGCCGCAAGAATCACAGGAACAGTTTGGAAGCGAGTGCCACGAAGTGGTTCCTTCATCTTAGGAATTAAGTCATAGTCACAAGGGCTTAGATCTGGGGAGTATGGTGGATGGTAAAGCACTTCCCAGCCCCATCGCTTGAACAAATCAGTCACAGCTTGCGCTGCATGCGGCCGAGCATTGTTATGCAAAATGAGAGGAGCGTTCTGCAGAAAGTGTCGCTGTTTTTTGTCAAAGCTGGTCGGAGATTGTGCTCCAAAAATGAGCAGTAATGCTGCACAGTGACGGTCTGCTGTGGGGAAACGGTATGCATTAGGATGACAACATCACAGTCGTACACGAGAATCACCATAACTTTCACATTGCTGAGGTTCTGACGAAATTTCGAACGTCATGGTGACCTGTGATGACGCCATTTGTTTGATTGCCGTTTCAGTTCTGGCTGGTACGATCGGGCCCATGTCTCATCCAGCGTAATGATACGGCGTAAAAAAAGCATCTCCTTCGCGCTCATAGCGCTCCAGGTGGGTTTCGGGCAGCATCGTACCGTAGCCATTTCTGCATTTTTGTCAATTGATGTGGAACCCAGAGTAAAGCAATTTTTCTCATGGACAGGCGTTCCGTCAGAATGTGCAGCACAGTCGTATGCGCTAATCCTGTTTGTCTGGCCAGCTGACGAATCGTTTGGCGGCGATCACTGTCCATTAGTGCGGCAACAGCTTGCGCGTCTGCATCGCTGACACTCGGACGACCTGGCCGCAGCATGTCATCCTGACAACACTTACTTTAGACCGTGAGCTAATACAAGGATCCGTTCTTCGCGTCACTCCGCATGTGTGTGACGTAGGCAGGACGAGTCTTTTTGCTGAGAGGTAAGATAGGTATGTAGTTCACGTGTGGTATACGCGATATTCTTTGGTTTTGTTGTGTAGCGTTTTTTCAGCTGTGTTGCCACTTTTAAAGTTCCAACCCTCGTATATACCATCATCTTGCCTTTCAATGGAAAATCAAACCAAAAATTAATGTAGCGGGAGAAAATGAATTTTCAGAAACAGATTTTATACAAGGGATATTGCACTTTGAATTACAATACAATAAAAAAATAATTACAATCACTCCTTGAAGAAACTGAACAGCAGCAGATAGAACTTAAAATTACCTAGCTAAGCATTTAAATACAATTTTTGGGTTGCTTCCTTCCATACAGAATCAAAATTATGACTTGATTAGGAAAAATTCTGATCAACAAACAAATTATTTGCTGAATCAAAAATTTACAAGAAAAAATAAAATATTAAATAGCAAGAAAAATTGATATATTCTATAGTGATAATCACATTTAACTCCCACTACATTGCAAAAATGAACATAGTGCTGCCCCTTAGAATGACTACATAACTAGCCTACACCTGTTTATTTTCTACAGTTAATACAGTCAAAAATCGTTAATTCGGACACCCATAATCCGGAATGACCCATAATCCGGAATGATCTATAATCCGGACCTCAAAGCTACAAACTTTCTGCGCATGCGTCGCGTTCACGCAGGCGTTTACGAGAGCGCGTAAGACCTTTACAGCTGCGAATATGTTTGTGCGCATGCGTGTTTAATGTGTAACAGAGGTATAAGCTAAGCTAAAATTATCTAATTCAGTTAATGTTGCAGATTGCGTTGTTCCTTAATCTTCGAATTGGATCCGGCTTATTATTTTTTGCAGACTGTTTAGAAGCAATTTCATAAAAGTAAGCTTGAACTTTCGATTATGTCAAATAGAATTTCCGGATATACATTTACTAATATGTAATTTGTATCTACAAAGCGAAAGTATGTTTCTGAAATCCGAAATCTGTTTATCAATTTCACGCCTGCGGATTGGAAGTTGATCTGTCAGCACTATCCTTATCTTCAGGGCAGATGTTTTTATTTTATTTGGCTTATAATTCCTTACTAAGTGTAGTATTTCATGTCTATGTACTCAAGTCTTTGATATGATTTAAATCAAGTTCCTCGTCATTATAATTCGCTTCTGATAGTGAAGAAAGTGACCCAGAGGTTATTGAAAACGAAAACATTTCGATTGACAAATTAGTCGGTATTCTCAACACAGCAATTATAGGACTTGAACAGCGGAACTTTGTAACTAAACAAGAAATTATGTCTGTTTAATAGAATTAAAGAGAAAGTATTATCACATGAAACGAAGCAACTTAAACAACTTACATTGAAAGAAATGTTTAATAAAGTAAACAAATAAATATTAAGCTTTTTCTTTTTGTAAATTTTGATTCCCTTTAGATCATAATTGTTCTTTATTTCATAAATTACGGTTTCATATTTTTAATTTTGTAATTTCTGCGTGCCATCTTACCATATTTAAACTGATCATCTATAATCCGGAAAAATCGATAATCCGGAATCGCCGAAGTCACGACGAGTCCGGATTAACGACTTTTGACTGTATACAGTTTGCACAACCCTGTGAATGATATATAAAAAATAAATGCATCCAATGTACATAAAATATATTACTTTAATGTAACCATCAGATTTTTAAAAAAGGTAGGGGTGAAAAGCAAACAAAACTGTCCAAAGTAAAAGTTTTATTTAAGAGACAAAATATATTGAAAATTACTTACTACATGACCAGCCCCAGGTTTAGCATTGGGATTATTCTCAATTTCCCAGAGGCCCTCATTGAAAAACTTCCTTTTCTGTTGCTTCCCAAACTTTGCTTTGTATTGCTCATATGGGAAGAGATCTTTAGCAGCAAGCACAGCTCTGTAACAAAGATTATACAAACACTGAATTTCGCTCTGCATATGAAATTGGTTTTTTAAGTCTGCAACAACTTAAGTGAAAAACTGACAGTTTATACTTAGAACCAAAACCTAAGAGAAATTAGTGTAAAATCTGTGTGGATAGTGGATAATAAAGCATTATCCTGGTTTCCTTAAAACTGTGGTCTCAAACTGGTAGTCTTATTATTGACTATGTACATACTGATAAACATTCAGTAAGTGAAAATCTAATTTATTTAAGATACTTTTTTATTTTGTTAAAAAAAAAAATTCTGGACTGTTAGGTGTTTTCAGATATAAATATACAATTTGAGACCACTGCCCTATGGCACCTGAATAAAACAGATACATTAAATGTGCATTTGTTGCAGTTAAAATATGTCTTTCCGTAAATTAAAGATCTTAAGTACATCTAACAGAAAAAATAAACATACAGTGATAACTGATTTAATTCATGCTTTAAATAGTATGCCCATTATGAGCTTTAAATCTCTATAATATACCTAAATAAGAAGAGATAAACAAAGAAACTGCATGGAATTAATATCCTTCTATAGTGGCAAACTTACTTACAGCAAGACACAAAATAATATATAGTCTAAAAACTTTTTAACCAAAATTTGAATATAAATGCTGAGTGAAAACTGAACACAGCCAGAAAGTTTAAGGTACCATCAATCAGTGGTATTTTGAAGACAAGGTCAAAATGCATCACCAAGTAATTTTAAAATATGCACATTGCTCGCAGAAAACAAGAAAGATGTCCATCTGCAGAAAGTTTGGGCAATGTCACATGAACTCAGGATGGCTTCTCACGATTAGATTTTGATAAGGAAATAAAATTTTATGTTATCAACAGACACTTTTAAAGGTTTAATTATTTTTGTTGAAATCACAAAAGAAGCATTTATAATTATAATAATGAGCAGGCAGAATGTATAACAGCATGGATATTTTTTAAATGATTTGAGTCAGTGCTTCATTAATGTAAGCTTTGAGAAAGCTCTTTCTGATTTTAAACAAATAAGACAAGGCCTTCCCTAGGGCTCAGTTTTAAGCCCTATACTTTTCAACATTATTGTTTATGGACCACAGACAAGAGCATCGCTCAGATAGAGAAAATTCTGGACTCAACTATGAAAGTATTGGCAAATGTACAGACGAAAATGAATTTTTGGTCAATGTCGATAAGACCGCATTTGAACTCTTTACTCAGAGTGCTAAAATACACGATATACATCTGATTTACAAAAATCAACCTTTGCCTAGAACTGGTGGTGCGACTTATTTGGGGACTGTTTTTGGACCCAAAACTAAATTCAAATAGACAGGTATCTAGAATCACTGAAAGAGTAACTGAGCGCCAGAGTCTTTTAAAAATAATTGCTGGTATGAAATGGGAATCTTCCCAGGGTGTACTTTTCACAACTTACAGCTCTTACATTCATCCAGTTCTGGACTACGGTGCAGAATCACTTATAAAAGCATCTGATTCCACTTTGTCAAGATTGAATATTGTCCAAAACTGTGCACTTCAGCTCCTTATTGGGGCAGTTTTTTCAGTCCCTATGGCACTCATAAAACTGCAGACTGGCCTACCTAATTTGGCTGATTGCCACCTGATGGCCACTTTGCTAAGGGTAGGATTCTTTCATAAAGACACCTTTCGACCTAAATATGTTCCAGTTCAATCTAGACTGAAGACATAAAACTCTTTCCTTGTGATGACTGATCAACTATTAAGAAGCCTGGGCTTCCCTTAAATTGTCTGAATATTTTTAAACCTTATATCTTTCCAGGCTTTTTGCATTATGCAAGAGCAGCTTAAGACTTAATTATTAGCATTAAAAAGAGTTCGCTTTACGTTGAACTTAAAACTTCAGCAGTGGCTGAGAGATATCCTACAGCATACTGGACTCATCTGTATACTGATGGCTCTGCAATGACTGAAAGTGTTGGTGCTGGTGCCTTTTCAGGATTACTTCAATTGAGTGAGGCAGCTGGCCACTTTTGTGACAACTTTGATGCTGAATCGCATGCTATTTTGATGGCCCATTAAAAATACAGCTGATAAAAATATTGTTACATTTGTGGATTCTTGGACTGCTGCTATTCAAACTGACGCTGTTTTGCAATGGATTCCCAATCATAGCAATATTCCTGGCAATGAGCAGGCAGATTTGCTTGCTAAGGATGGTTGTGGTTTTAACCAACGTGAATTACATGTTCATCTTAGAAACATCAAACGGACTATTAGAGAGTACATCCCATAAGGCCAGACTCTGTCATTACAGGGATGTTGCAAATGCAAAGAATTGGTATTTTCCTTATTAAACAAACAGATCTGTGTTTCTATGCCAAGAGCTACTGGTGTGGTTTGCTTCAAATTCATCACACAACATGATTACGTACAGGCTCATCTTTTTAGATTTGGACTAGCTAACTCCCCAGACTGTACGTCTCTGCTAAAATGACTGAACAGCATCTTTTTTCTTGTACTGCTTTGTGAGATATTCTTTCATCAGACTTTTTGATGACTCTTCCAACTGCAAAGGCAATTTCCATTATTTATTGGACTGCAAGGCACCATGAGTCTAGGTAGGCATAATTTTAAAAAACTTTCTGACAAATTTAGTGTAATTATTTTCAAAACCATATCTGTGTCATTTGCTATACAGTACAAAGTACGTAATCCGGACTCGTCGAGACTTCGGCGATTCCGGATTAGCGGTTTTTCTGAATTATAGATCATCAATTTAAATCTGGTAAGATGGCACGTAGAAATTATACAATTAAAAATATGAAATCATAATTTATGAAATAAAGAACAATTATGATTTAAAGGGTATCAAAATTTACAAAAAAAAAGCTTAATATTTATTTGTTTACTTTATTAAACATTTCTTTCAATGCAAGTTGTTTAAGATGCTTCCGCAAAAAATTCAAAAAGTTCCTTTTTCTTGTGTCATATATAGTGGACTTTCCAATGCCATACTTCTCACATAATTTTGAGACGGATAGGCAGTTATCCATTTTTTGCAGCAATTCCACTTAATTTGTTTAATGGACATCGAAACATGCTTTCGCTTTCTAGATCCTTTGGCAGCTTCAGAATCGGAAACTCTTTTTGACATAATCGAAAGTTGAAGCTTAATTTTTATAAAATTGTTCTACAGTCTGCAAAATTAATAAGTCAGATCCAAATAGAAGATTAAGGAACAGCACAATCTGCAACATTAACTGAAATGCCTTAGATAATTTTAGCCTAGCTTATACCGTCCATTAAACATTAAACACGCACGCCTAAATGCATTATACGCATTAGTAAATGCATACGCATGCACATAAAGTTTGCAGCTTTAAGGTCTGGATTATACATCATTCCGAATTATAGACTTTGTACTGTATTATTATCCACATTTACCTAGCCTGCCTGCAATGTCTATTAATTTAAAGTGATGAATAATTTCTCATTATTAGTCATTGGTATATATATTTGGATCTAGATTTATTGTATTTCTTGACATAGGGTGATTATAATTAAACTTGCAATTTCAAAACTCTAGCTTTACCAGTGAGAATGACTTGATATTTTACCAGAACAATTGTGAGGCAACAGAATTTTGTCTGGCGAAGGGGAAAAAAAGGAGTTCCGAAAAGTTCCAATACATTGCATTGTCAGTATTATGTCAGGGTAAAGGTCTAAAGGATTCGTTAAACACAGGAATGTTATTAACCAAAAGAAAACGACAGAGTATCTGTGCAAATGCTATGAATATGGTACATGATGCCTGCCTTCAAGTCAGCCAGATTCACAATCCTCCCACTATAAATGACATTCTTGAGTTATCCTCAAAGCCAAAAATCGAAGGATTTAAGTCAGGGGATCGTGGCAGCCAAACTGTTGGAAAATGGCGATTTATGAATCTATCATATCCGAAATCAGCGATCAGCAGCTGCTTCAAATGAATAGAAATGTGCGCCATAGCGTCATCTTGCATGAATATTGTACAATCTACACACTGATGCTGCTGTAGTGCCAGAAGGACATTGTTATGCAAAAATGATTCATACCACTGGCCAGTAATGTTGCACATAATCGAGCCTGCAGGTGTGATCTCGAAAAAGAACGAACCGATGACAAACTCTACCATTATTCTTCACCACACAATGATGTTTTCAGACTGAAGAGGGGTTGTAGCGGGAATGGATTATTGGTTGTCCATATCCTACAATACTGCATATTTACAGAAGCTTGCAAATAGAAATGGGCTTTGTCAGACCACAGAATATTCAATGGCTATCCATTGTCCTCTTCTATCCGGGCAAGAAATCATAGTGGTGTGTATATGAAGTCTTAGTAATTTGCATACCTCCACAACAGCAATGTGAACCTTGATAGCACGACATATCGGCACATTTTTTAACTACCGTATTTGAACGGCATATGAGACGCACCCTTATTTAGAAGGCCACACACATGTAGATGTAGAAAAAGTTATGTGTGTCTAGACCTTTATCCGGGCTAAAAATAGCATTCAGTATTGAAAGTTAACCTGTGTTCTTCACGTATAAGACGCAGGTAACTTTTTTTAAGACCAAATTTAGGAAAAAAAGTGCGTCTTATATGCCGTCAAATACGGTATTTTTCCCTTTGCCAAACCAATTCCATTCCTCACGAGTATTTTGGTAAAATATCAAGACAGTCTGACCAGCAGTTTTAAAATCACAATTTTAATTATAATCACCTTGTACTTCAATGGATGTAAATTTGAGTTTTTAGGCAGATTGCCTGGTAATTTTAAATCCAATTTTCTCACTGCAAATTCTTTGCATAAATTATTTATTGTTCACACCTTGTATTTTATAGCCTGATACTGATGCCCAGGAGGTGAACCAACATGAACTCGAACAGACAGGTATCTAGAATAACTGAAACATCCTTCCCCCCTCTCTCTTCTTTTTTTTGGGGGAGTGGGG